CAAGCTGATTGTTAGGAAACGTTTTATAGCATTGCTTCAACGATCCACATAATTATTTTGATGATATAAATGTCTAAAAATTCAACTAGGAATGAATCTGAAAATAATTTTGTTAAATTATCCAATAATTATACAGACGTTCCAGCTGATTGTTAGAATATTGAAACTTTTTGCGGCATTGCTCATCAGCTCGAGTTTTTTTCACATAATTATTTTGATGATTTTCTAACGAAATTATTCAAATCTGTATCTATCTAAATTTTTTAATATTTTAGCAAAATCGGCCTTTCCATGCAGTTTCGAGTAAACAGCGCGACGTCTTTTATACAAGTTCTCTCCAAGACACGTTTTTGGTACGGGTGCTGAAAAGGAGAGATTAATTGCAAGTGCTGTTGTGGTGAAAATTCCGAATGGAATGAGGCGTAAAAAGATTTTAGGTATTCGCGAGGTGACGAACTTCAGATCAGTCGCGACAATATACGAGAATGTACAACGGGTTGTCGTGTGGCAGGCTAATCTAATCGTCGGCGGACGACTCTAGATAAGTTTCTAAATTTAGGTACGACACATTTTCCCCTGGAAGACATATAAGTCATTCGTATGGAATTTGTATAAATTATTACACGTTTTACGGCGAACAGTGGGTTGGATGCGACAAATCGGCTTAAAAAAAGAACATGCTATGAATAAATAAACATGCCATAAAGCATTATTGGCATTTACTAGCTATTTAATTACTCCTAATGGCTTTTTTAAACAAATTTATGTAGGCTTAATGATACCGTCTGAGTTTATGTGAACTTGCGAAGTTTAGCAAAAGAGATTCGTGTTACACAGACTATTTAGATTGTACAACTTATATAAACCGGTATTTATAGTTGCTCCTCTTTCTCTCTTAAATTCTTTGAAATGGAATCTCACTCTAAAGAATTTCACTCCAAAGAATTTAGAGAAACTCTTTAGAATGAGATTCCATTCCAAAGAATTTAGAGAGAGTTTCAGGACTGTCTTAAATAATATATCTTAAGATGTTAATATTCTATTTTTAATTGGTATACTTATAAGACATTTTAAGACTGTACTTAAGACTGGTCTTAGATATACGAATCAAAACTAATATATAATATATATATATAAGAGAATACCAGCTATAGATATAAACAGATTATAGGGGAGTTGTCTAATATCTCCTAAAATAACCGGTCCAATTTACATCCAAGTCTCTTCAGAAGGGAAACCTCGCACGGAGGAGAAACAAAGAGGCACGCGTCGTTTACCTGATCACTCGCTGCGTGCTGACACCTGCGGGCCTGCGGGATAAGCGGCGGTTACTCCTTAAACTTCCACTCCTGGCGACACATCGGGCATATGTGGTTGGTCTGCTGCGAGTGCAGCCACTTCATGATGCAGTGTATATGGAAACAATGCGAGCACTGCCCCCACACTGAAACGAAACGATATACACGAGCGGTTAAATTAATTTCGTCGGTGTTGGGCAACGGACCGGTGAACGGTCGGGTGCACCTGGCGATTAGCAGCAAGGGAAAGGAAGGGTGGTAACAACGGGAAGAACGGACGTGCGTGCACACATTCGCCGCACATCGATACCCGAGGGTGTACAGGGCGAGGGTGAGGAACAGCGGCGCCTACCAGCCGCGTTTCTCCATCGGCCGACCGGCACGCGTCGATCGATATCACATCGCGCGCCGTCGCGGATGCGGCTTTCTCGTTCTGGCGGTATTTTACAAGTCGGAAATATAAAGCCTTGCGTTTCATGATGCTACTCGAAAAGAATGATTCTGTTGAAGTATCTAAAAATTTAGCTAGATATACAGATCTAAAAATAATTTCATTACACTAACAAAATAATTATGTAGGTGGTGCAAGTATAGTGAGCAATGCTGTAAAAAGTTTTCTAATAACCACGTTGAGTCTTGCATAATTATTTTAGTGGCTTAATAGAATTACAATATTTCCAGATTCTGTCGATTTAGATAAATTTTTAAATAGTTTAGCGAAATCTTTTATTTCATATAGAAATCGCTCCGAGATTTCTCGGATGGAGAAAGAATTGACAAATCACATTTGAATCTGTTAAATCACATTTCAATCTGGTTAAATCACATTTGAACAATTCAGCCACTTTGGCCGAGTGATTGATTCTTTGTCTGAGATCTCGGAGCAATTTATACAGGAAAGGAATAGTTTTGCTAAAGAATTTAAAATTTAGATACTGTTCTATTTTTTAGCCCGGTTTTTTTTTCAGTGATCTATAATTATATATTAAAATTTAGAATGACATTCTATTTGATGTGTAATATATGTATATGGAACTTAATTAAACGGACACAAATAGAAAATATAGATCTATTAAAATATATGCGTATATCAAATAGATTATAAGTAGAAACACGTCGAATAAATGTAAGTCATAGATATCGATTAAATTTCAATTAACATAATTGATGATAATTCATTTAACAGAAATGTTTTTCCAAGAAATTTTTGTTTCCAAATAAATTTCTAACTATATAATTTGTCATTTCCAATTTAATCTAATTCATAATCTTTCTTGTTAAAAATATGTGTTAAATAAAAAATTAATCATTCATTTAAAATATAGACACCACACTTAATTACGTACAAGTAAATCTGATTAATTTAAGTTGCTTCATATGATAGAATTTTTGTTTACATTAAAATTTCTAATTGCATAAATCACTGTTTCTAATTTTTCTGTCAAAGAATGTAAAAATATTCAATAGCACTAATAAAAAATATAATAAATACTTTTGTTTATAGGAACAAGGACAAATTATTTTCAAATAAATAATTAAGAAAAGAGGAACTAGTAAAAAATAGCAATCGTAAAGTTTACTTTAGTGAAATACTGCAACAAAAAGAATGTGTTTCAAGTACCCAGTGGACAGTCATCTCCAGGGATCTTGCAATCTGGACAGCTGGCGTCGAACGGCATCCTGCATATACCGCAGTTGTCATCGTTCGCAATCCATCGCCAGGTGGCGACGCCTGTCCAACCTGGACAGAGAAATGCCTCGTAGACACTGATCTACGTATAACTGCTTTACGGCCGAGAAAAACGTACGAATGATGCGAACGTTAGCCGTGACATAACCATAACGTCCATCATCGCGAGATTGAGTTTCATGCATATCACATTAGAATTACGTGCACAAAACAGAATGAACGGCAAGAATATTTCGAATGTCACTCCATATACTTACTCTTTATCGTCACCTTCATCTCGAAAAGTCAGGATTGTTCTTTCGAGTAATAAACGCAATGCGATGCGACTTGAACGACTTCTCCGCGAATTCTCTGTTATTCTCCGATAATGTGACTTCGGTGAAAATACATTTAAGTAAAAATATGCGTTTATATATCGTCGTCGAACGATCAACTGACTGCAGCTGCTGCAGCTGACAGAGAAACACGAAGCGATAAACAGGGCTACGCCATCTTAAGATTTTCAAATCGCGATTCGACATTCGATTCTCGTGCGGAGGTCTGAAGCTTACTTCAGACGATTCGCGTCGGTTTTAAGAATAAAATTCTAATTATTATTTTATAGATGTTGTAAAGAAATGTACATATATTTAAAATATATATTTCAAATAAATTTACATTGCACTGTAATATTAAATTAAGTTATTACACGAATTCTAGACAGTATTGAATTTCCTGAAGTGGGAGATAAACAGAAAATAAATATAAATAAGATATATAAATAAATTTTGCCGTGCCAATATTCATTTTAAGCAAAATATTAAAAATAGACATATGTAAAAAAACAACATATATTGAGAAATAAATAAAAATATTTTTAAATCTGACTTCTTAAATTATTCTGTGTCTGCATTCGATAGATACTTAATTATAATTATGCAAAATATTAAAACACAAAATGATTAATTTCAAATTAGTTAAAATTATACCAGTTTCATCTTTTGCTTCAAAATGCAAAAATAATTTCTATCTTTATTAGTAGCGATCGTAGCGATGTAAAGTGATATAATTGTTTTTTTTTTCGTCATATCTCTGCAATACCAAAGTGTATCATATAAAATCTACTATAATACTTTTTCGCTTCCATTTTATGCAGGAATAATTTTTTTTACATTTATTCGCTACAATGTAGATATCCCAATAGACTCTTTTTCACGTTTTCAGAGTTAGATCTGTAAATTCTATCGCTTCCAATTTTTGCTTCACAGTGCAAAAAGCAATGGTTTTATCGTCGTTCGTTACGATGGAAATAATTGGCGTGACGGCATTCGAGTCACGCGGAACGCGCTGGACGTCGCACTAATCAATCTCCCCCGTCACGTATCTATTATTTCCGAAAAAGCGGGAGGTTGATTGGCCGACGCGCATATACGTATATATTTTCCGTGTCTATTGCGCGTCAAAAAATCAGACATCGCGCCTACAGAAAGCATGCCGTCGTCGGTTTCCATCGGTGTTCGTAGCGCGGCGCGACGGTGGCAACCGAGTGGAAACGAAACGCGAGTCGCGACTGCTGACTCCTGTCGCAAGTATCGCAAGCAAGAAGCGGTTCATCGCGACTCGCGAGCGGAGGAGCGCGGCGCCGCTGGACGGCCACGGCACGGCACGGCACCCGTACGTCGTACGTCCCGTACAGCGTCGCAACGACACGGCCAGCAGCGAGAGCGAGCGGCGAGGAGGAGACAGAGGCGGTGAAGGAGGAGGAGAAGGAGAGAGCGGTCGCTGGCGGCTTTCGACGTACGGTGATGCGAGAGGACCCGCGCAACGCCGGGTAACGTTCACTAGCGAAGCGGAGTAAACGCGCGCGCGTTGGCCGGACGGAGTCGGCGGGCCCGACGTGGCCGCCCGTTGCGTTGCGAATTTCTGTCCCTGAGTCTTTGGTTTCTGTCAAAAGTCGTGCGCCGAAACGGCCAGCGGTATGACGAGCCTCACACGGGCGTCGTAGATCGGCCGCCGCGCCACCGCCGCTACCAACGACGGTCGTTGCGTGCGTAACGTAACGTGCGTTGGTGTCCAACCTCCCAAGTTCGGCGGGGCCTTCGTACGACATGGCGGGCTTTCATGACAGGGATAGGGCCCTGTTCCCGATCCGGAGCATCTCCGCGATCGTGCAGATCTTCAAGAATCAGCTGGAGAACAGCGCCGAGCCGGATCTCGCGTTACTCTCGATCCTCATTGGCGCAGTCGAGAACTCCTTGACGTGCAATCGCGTCTTCACGCCCCAGGAGAACGCCGTCTACGACGAGCCGAAGCTGCCGCCTGTGGAGTATCACATCGCCGAGGCGTTATACACAAAGTTTCACGCGGTTATCAAGGGCGCCGTCGATCTCACCGTGTATGACACCAAGTATGCCACTAGGGAACTCGTGAAAAAGGTGTCGGACGTTATATGGAATTCCCTCACCAGAAGTTATTACAAGGATCGAGCGCATCTGCAAAGTCTCTACAGTTATCTAACAGCGAACAAGCTCGATTGTTACGGAGTCGCCTTCGCTGTGGTGGCTGGTTGCCAAGTTCTAGGTTTCAAGGATGTGCATCTTGCTATGTCAGAGGACCATGCATGGGTTGTGTATGGAGAAGATGGCACGGAGACTGCGGAGGTTACATGGCATGGTATGTGGTGCAAAGTCTTCAATGCATTAGGTGTAAAGTTGTGGTATACTTTGTATCGACCAATAGTCTCCAAAGAAAAAATGTAAACTGTATTTAAAAAAAAATTATCTTGGGTAACCGAATTAAACTTTGATCTTTCAATCCTAATAGTTGGAAGAAGAAGTGAAACAAACTATTTTTGTTTCACTTTAACTTATTGCACATGTGCATCATCAGTTCAGAAAGTTCTTCAACAAAGAACAGGTCTATTCTTTTCTTCTTTTAAAACTTTCAACTGTCGGGATTGAAAGATTACAATTTAATCAGATAGATATCCAAGATAGATTCTTGTAGATATATTTTTTCTTTAGAGACTATTGATCGGCACAAAGTATCACAACTTTACACCAAGTAATTTTGGATTTGTTTAAGAAAAGTATTTTTCTTGTTATACAATATAATATTTGCTTTTTAAAATTCTTTGATAGATGCAAAGTGATAGAAAGATTCAAACCTAGAGCTTTCGCGCGACTTACACTACTTCTATTAAATTCTACTTCTATTAAATTCTACTTGCCACTTCAAAAATTTAGGGTAAGAGGTAATTGTAATTTATTACCAGGTAAGGGAAACGAGGATAAACGCGGACAACCAGTGGAGCCTGGTGTAGCGTCTCGATCATGGTTGTATTTAAATGGGCAAGCTATGGTATGCAGTCGTGCTTTAGAAGTGGCTACTATAGTATCGGCTATAAATCCTAGCTTGAATGCGACTACCGACGCGGTCGAAGTGGCATTGCTTCAGCAGGAATTATTGTGGCTGTTGTATGACTTAGGCCATCTAGCGAAGTATCCTATGGCACTCGGTAATTTGGCTGAATTGGAAGAGGCTGCGCCTACGCCTGGAAGACCACCACCTATAGACCTCTTTCAGGTTTGCGATATTAAAGTATCAATTAATATCACTAAGTCTGTTTTCTATGACTGAACTAGTATATATTTTTGAAATTTAAAAAGTGAAATTGGTACGTTTGATATTGGGCGAAAGCGAGAAAGAGAATTCTAGTGCGGTCTAGTGTAGGAATAAAAATAGAAAGACCTGTTATTTATTTGCAGATATAATGCATATAAACATAATTATTCCGAACATATTTTTATAGGAAGCTGTAAGATCAGCAAGAAAATACTATGGAAACGCGCATGTATATCCTTATACCTATCAAGGTGGATATCTGTACCGGCATGAATTACACGTAAACGCGCTTGCGTCGTGGGCCGATGCCGCGGATGTTTTGCGGAAGTAAGTATCTGACGTATGAGTTTTTTAAAATCTTTTTTACATTTTTAATGAGTTTGCTGAAACTGCGTTTGGAGAGTGGCAGTGAATATGTTAATTGCTTCATTGATATACGGTTTGTTAGCGGTGAATAATAGAATTCTATGCGCGGCAGATATGATTATTCGCGGGACGACGGGGAAATATACAAGGAATTGCTGGAGATTGCCAATGAATTGATACCGCATGTGGTGCGCGTCGACAACGCGCGTTTACTGCGACAGCCACGTTGCTTCGCATACCTGTTGAGATTCTACGACGGTATCTGCCAATGGGAGGAGGGTGCCAATACTCCTGTATTACACATAGGTTGGGCTCGCCCGCTGGTGAACACGATCTCGAAGTTCGACGCCAATATACGCGCTCAGGTCGTCATAGAGTGCTACGAAACAGAAGTCAAGCAGAAGGAGGAAACGGCACAGAAGAGAGAGACGAGTCCCGAGGAGACCTTGAACAATAATAACAATTATTGTAAGACTAAGGAGAGAGGAAACGCGGCGCGAGATTTGATCAAGAGCCTAGAGTCCAAAGTGCCCTCTAATTCAGCGTCAACGCATCCCAGTATTCAAGCTCTAACGGCAGCCTGCAGCGAAAAGATACTTAACAGAGATTACCTACTACAGGGTGGTGGTGAACCGTTTGTCGCGCCGCCGGACGACGCTCTACCACCGGCGCCCTCCACTTCTCAGGAGAAGTCCGTCGAGCCCGAAGTTCTTCCGGAGGCTGACTCCGAGAATGAAAGGCCAAGGATAACGCTATACAGCCAGAAGATGAAGGGTCTCAAGGATCTGTTGCTCGCGGAGAAGCTCAACACCCACGCGATCTCGCTGCAGCTCACGGCGCAGAGCCAGGTACAAATCGGTAAGAAGTCGCGTGGCAGCGACGACGTGGGAGTCAGTCAGCGTCCCAAGAGGACACGTCGAGAATAGTATAAGATTCTCGACCGACGTTTCGGTATAGTAAAGTATTGAAAGTGCCACCACATTTCTCGAGATTAACTCTCCGCTCGTGCTCGCCGAGCGGAAACGCGAGACGCAAACGGCCGACTATCCGACGCGGCCCGCGCAAACAGTCATTAAGGTATACCAACCTTTTCGCTCTCGGTGTCTCCCGCTGATACCCGGGACGCGGATTCTCCTCGGCTGGACTCCTCCGGAATCTCGACTCGAGAGCGTCGTGATGAATTTTGTGCCGTTTGATTTGAATGAAGCCCTCCACGGTGCTCCTCTCGTTTTGCAACGACGCCGCGGGTCCTTGCGAGACAACGTTTACGTTACCGTCGGGGATATATCGCCGTTAGTATGTATAGAGTATAAAAGTAGATATGGAGAGAGAAAATTGTAGAAAAGTACAAAAAAGTTTTCCCCACTTTTTAAGTTAATAGACGGAATCGTGAGAGTCGCTCCCCCGTTGTCTCGCTCATCGTCAACCCGTGATTCGAGTATTTTTATGTGTAAATATTTCTCTTGATTCTTCCACAGTGCGTATAGAGCTGTGACTTGCGATATAAAAGGGGGAGGGGAAAAGAGTGGAAAAAGAATCGAATATTGTACCTAATCTCTATCTTCGCGGGTAGATCAATCTTTTTGGAGCATAGTTATTTATTCTACGAATTATACAATTTGCCGACGATATCGCCGACGGATTTGTTGGCGATTGTCACTTTGTCATACGTATATAATCTCTTGTTGCACTCTTATTTATTGATTCACGTTTTTTCTATTTGAAGCTATTGCACTATTGATAATTACGATTGACAAGTTGCCGTTAATGTTTTTTACACTTGGTAGTTGAACTTCTGTTAGAATTACGCTTCTACGATCTAGTAAGGGAAACACATTCCACTCCGCATGTGGTGCAAACTAATTAAGTTCTTACCCTAAGGTATTTTTAAGCATAAAATTCTCGCTTATTTTTATAACTATTTATTTTCGGAATAATTCTAAGTATCTAGATTTGTAAGACTTCTCTATTTTACTGTTTGTCGATAGAGGCGGAATGAACGTCCGAACAGTTCATCATCCTTGATCTTTGAATCTGAGTCATCTGAGTGGCAGATGATGTTTTACTGCAAAATAGAATAGGAGCGCGCTTTTAGTATCATTGTATTATAAATCGTGTATCGTTTGATCACCGATCATGCATAATCTCTCTTCCGTCTTAATATAAGAATGCGTTTACTCTTGTCCGATGATGAGACTCGAGAACTGTCCGTGGCGCCTTCATTCATGTGCTCTAGAGATTCGTATTCGTTTTGTCTTATCTGTTTAATCCGTCGCGAAGGAAAAAAAAAACAGAATGGCGACCCTTACGATCGCACTTGCATTGTGACTATGATCATGTTTAGTTAATCGTCGACCCACGCGCAAAACCAGTAGTCATGCTTTTCCAGCTATTAATCGCCTTCAATCAGACGCGACTCTACGATCCATCCTACGATTTTTAATTAATACTCTCTCCGAACTTTCGCAGGTGATCGATACCCGTCGCCTGTCTGTAGTACGTAAAACTCGCTGCATGCCGGACGCATGCCGGAATTCTTTGATGATGTTTAAAGCGGATTGTTGTAGAGTATGTTGTTGACAGGAATGAAAATATAATGTCCGAGCTGATCGACGATAACTTAATAATGAAGGGCGCTATCTTACTGTGATGCTGAATATATATATACTATATTATATTATATTATATTATATATATAAAACAAAGTATATATATATATATAAATATAATTATAATTATACGATTTAATAACCATAGCTGATAATGAGCGACGCGATACGATCCTATGAACGCCGTGTCGCGACTATAAAATTAATTAAATGACAGTAGTATTAACTTTAATCAAGGAACATGAAATACCGATATCGCAATGACAGTCCGTCGCCTGTGGCGCGCGCGTATCAAAATTTACGCAAGATTTTTCTGCGGAAAGAACGATGTTGAACATCATTTTCTTTCGTTAAATTTTCGTTACCGTCTCTATTTTTTCTTGATATGAATTTTTCAGCGAGTATTGCTGTTAGCGTTATCTTCTCTTGATGCGTATCGTCGTGCGGCTCTCTTGACACTCACCGAGACTGAGTTTCACCGACATTCCGATCTGCCTGACTCCGAGCAGTGATTTCTTATAAAAAAAAAAAGATCTGAAATGCAAATCACATAATCATTATTAATTACTCTTAAGGATATTTGCAAGCGGCAGCTCTCTCTCGAGACTTATGAAAGCAATCATTTTTTTTATTACTACATATTTGTATAGTCTCATGTACATATGTATCCTTTGTAATATATTCTACATTACCCATGTATAGTCTGCATGTATAATACAATCGCTGCTCCGAATTAGCTGCAACCAGCGTCGGTGCGACCAGTTCTGAAATAAAGGAGAGTAAAGATTGCGCGCGTTATATGACTCTCTAGAAATAAGCGCTTCATCCAGAAATAAGAGTACGAGCTCTCATGGTCGAAATTCGGTACATTCGCAATACAATTCTTTTTTCTTACACACATACACACACATTGTACAACACACATCTCCCTATTCAGTATTCTTTCCTTATCCACGATTACGGAGCGTTTTAAAGACTACAGGGATTATAATGTGCATAATGGTAGGGATAGTAGGTGAAGATATGGTGCATCAGAACAGTATTTTTGTATTTAATGGAGGATGTGCCCTCCGATCGACGTATTATCGATGATGTTTGCGAGCGTAGGAAAGCAGAATGAAAACGATTGCCGGAACGGCGGCCACGTTAATTGGCTTATCGTGAAGCATTAATACTTTTTCCGTAGACTTTCGTCCGGTGAGTGCAACCATGTGTGCAATCATCGATCGCGCGGACCAGGCAAATTTTGCGCGCGGGTGAGACGAATAGCGACTTTGAGAAACTTCTTCGAAAATGATGATAACAAAACTGACGAGATCGTCGCGCGACATTCATCGCCTCTTTGCCAGTCACGTCCTCTCACCTTCGTTCGCAAACGATTGCTCGGAATTATGACACTTGCGCAAAGGATGTCTTACCCTTGCCCCAAATTTCGACGTGTTCTTCGATAAATTTGAAATGGATCTTTATTAGCGAAACTATAGCAATATTGTGAGAAATTATTTCATCTGCAATTAACCGGGCAATTCAGATCTCTTGGGAATTTTATTTTATACTTCCTTGCGAAGAAAATACATTTCAAATTCGTCGAGATAACATAACATTCTCATTATTATAAATAGATTTGGAGTGAAGGTGAGATATCTTGTAGTGAAAAATTGTACACGGTAGATGGTAGAATCTCCGTCTTTTTATCTGTGCTCTTTTTACTTCCAATTCTGTATTTTATCCTAAGTAAGAAAGTAATACTCGCCATACACTTCTCTCTTTTTTCTCTTCTTTTTTTTTAAATACGACTACTCGAAGTTGCCTCGCTTTTTATCATAAAGATGATTGATTGAGAAAGAACGAGTTGCTTATAGCATCATTTTATATATGTCAGAGCATATTTTAACATATTAATTAGGCTTATAGTCAGTGAGAATTTTTATCGCAAGGGAAAAACATTCTAGGTATGATCGTATGACCATTTTTTAATTGTTGTAGATAAATTTACAGTATATAGAAAAGTAAATATGTTGTCAATAAAATCAACTGCGAATATATAAAATTTCGTATTAAAAAAAATATGCTCTATATCTATATTTGTTTTCATGATTTTCTTAGTAAATGTTCAGTGTATAGAATTTTATCTATCACGATCTGATTTGTACCTGGAAGTTTTCTGTCTCTCAATGAGAACCATTGCTGTCGAATCCATCCGGTATATTTATTTATCTTTATGTGCCATAAAGCCTGCTTGCTGAACGTGCATGATTCATGCTGCATACTGTGACGACACGTCTTAGCCACACCGTTAGTTTCCTTATGAATGCTTCATAGGAATGATCAATCTTTTCATCATGCGCAACTCATTCCGCTTGTTTCCATCATTTCCTTCACACTGGAACGTATTCACATCGAGCCTCTAATCCGAAAGGAGATCTTAAATGCGAGTCTAGTTTAACTTATACGATTAGTAGAAGTCCTATTGTTCGCATTGCTTTTCATAGAATCGGCACTTCGGGCTTGTACGACATGACGAAGCTCTTGAGACAGAGAGTACAAACATCCGAAGAATGTTACAAAGGCGCTCCAGATCCTTGTAAACGTCTTCCAAACATTCCTCGGATGTTGCATTGTCGTTCCTATACCAGGTTTAATCAGCAAGAGAATACAATTGGAAATCTCGGAAACTCGCGTTCTTGCCGGAACGACATCTCATTTGCTTGACTCGTCGTGCTTTATTAATTTCCATGACAGACGGACAATGCGATACTTCGCCAGTTAAAGAGCTCTTGCAACGAATGACACATTACGAATCTGAACTCTCGTGCAGATGACTGTGTAAGGTTTCATTAAAATAGTTCTTTGACACTATTGTGTACGACTCTTTCCCGAGCGTTACACGTCGATTACCTTTCGCGCCTGTAAGATGCGCTTTGAGATTTATTCGCGCGAACGATATTTCATCCAGAACTTCGTAATGGAGATGTACTTCCACGTGAGGGCGTGTTAATTAGAGGTATATAGGAAAAAAAGCGCTATTAGAGTAAAACTAAGTCCGAATGTTTAAACATCTCTACGACTAATTACACTTGCTAAGCATAACTTCTCATGTACTTAAGCGAACAAAACCGAAGAGGAGCCTCGGTGACGTAAGCGTTACACGCAGAGCTGCGTGAAATATTACTTCACAGTGTTTCGATTATAGGCAGTCAAATATTCTCTCGCATAATCACTTTCCTCTCAGAAAGCGCAGTAATCGGGGCGTTCCTCGGACGCCATTATACATAGATCTAGAGATTAGAAACGAGCTAATTATCGATACACACACATTTAACGCATAAATAATAGACAGTGAGATATGGAGAATGTACGTGACGCTCGCAAGAATGGAGTAATATTTTGCTTGTCTCTGATTACACCGATAACGATAATCGCGTCGAGATCGACGATCCGGATTCAGCCCGGACATCGTGAATACGAGGAGAAAAAAAAAAGAACGAAGGAAGAAGGAGAACATACTGCGCTATTCTTCCGCAATGCGATTAGAAGGATAGGCGTATCGCGACACAGCAACAGCCAGTAGTAAGCCGCCGGAATCGCGATGTCGCGCGGCAGTAAAAAGCCGTAGCTTCTTTTTATCTTATAAGGATACAAAACGCATAATCCGATCCTTCGTAAGTCTGGATTCTAGTTGAATATTGGCTAGATCTAGTATTAAGGACTGTCGCTGCTGCCGGTATCGCGACACGGCGGCGAGCGAGCGTTTTCGCGTGGTCTCGAATTGAAGGGAGTGTAATCGCAGCTAATTGTTAAACTGACAGAACAGTGAGACAGACAGATCTTAAGGCATCATGGAAATGTCTTGTTTTTTTCTGTGGATTACAATAAACTATTTTATTCTAACCAGTGGTAACAGTTCAATTGATCCCCGTACGTAAAGTGCCCTTCGAGCGCTTATATGTTACAAAAACATGGGAATATATACTTTACATTTGGTTTTTTTTCAGGAATGAAGATATCGTTAAAGTACACATTTCTCTTTATTGATAGACTCACGATCTTTAGGAAACGTCACTTTCGTACATTATGTGGAAATTATGCTTCGTCACTTATTTCAAAGGAGAAATTCCTTACTGAAAGTGCGTCGCTCTCGTGTCGATATCCACTTTAGCGACGTTTCCATTAATACTCTATATGTATATAAGATTAATATAAAATGCGTAATAAATTACAGAATTAAAGCGGTCCTTAGCTCGCTAGTAATATTTGGTCATTTGGTCGCTCTTGTAAAATCAAACATTGATATTGCTTAAAGCACGTTGCTCTTATACAGATGAATATCCAGACATATACTTTGTCGGATGATCTAGATGGTAATTCTGTTGTCAACGCACGAATCCTCGAGTAGAGGAAACAGTACGATGGTAACTTATACTTTACAATAGAATCTAATGAATTTATATAATACAAAATGCTAAAGAGATCGCCGAAAGAGTTATGGATATATTATTTTCGCTCAGTGTTTACGCACCTCCACAATCGTCTACGGTCGTCTCCGATCGATCTATTCTACATCTATACGTTTAGGCGAAGGTCGCGTTAATACTGTACTTACAAAGATCATATTCATGATCCGAGCGATCGAGAAAAAAAAAACGCGATCGAAGTAAATGCTATCGATCTGATTGATAACGATCGAACATAAAGATAACTCGTTTAGTTCATGTTTGAAGAACATTGGCGATGATATGTTTTCATCTTCGTGTAAATAGCATTCAAAATTCATTATTATATTAATTATTGATGATCCATCGTTTGAAAGAACCACTCCGTGAAACGCCGGAGTTGCTGCGCGGCTGCGTGATTCTCATCCTTTAGACGGCGGTTTTCGTCTTCTAAGGAGAGTCGCAAGCTTTCGGATTCCTGCAAACGTCGATTTTCGTCGCGCAATCGGCGCACCTCATCCTCCAACGACTGTCGCAGACGCGTCTCCCTCACCATTCTCAGCTCGAGAGTGGATAGATGAGACTGCAAGTCCGAAACGGGATTCCTGCAAAAGATACAATGTTCTCATTAACTGTTTAATATCGCGTGCCCAATCAGCTGTATATATACTTACGCGTTTGAATTGCAACCATCGATGAGCCTGTCATCGGACCATTCTTGAGGATGCTGCTTCGTCGATCTGTTGGAATCCGCATGCTGGTTTTTCCAACAGTCAACATTTGTGTCGTTATGAGGCTTTACGTCTTTGATCGGCGTTAGATTATTATGCGATTTCATAATTGGATGAAGTGGTTTCGTGACACGCGGCGATAATCTACAGAAAAATTATTGCGTTATTAAGCGAATTATTTACCTAAAAATTTCATTTTTGTATTTTATTATTTATAACATAATCGTATATTATATTTCGTGTAAGTAAAATTTAATTTTTCGTAATTAATCATTAAGTTTTATAATTTTTCACACCTTTCCTCTTTCGACAACTTATTTTCGCTCGGCGCTGGACTCGAGGCAGTGCTGGCGTTCGAGATCACCGTGGCTGGCCTAGCCATCGTCAGAATCACTTCCGAGCCATTGTTTCCGTTTTCCTGTCCATTCGCGGGCAACACGCTCAAGGTAGATGTACTGTTGCCGCACAGGTTCTCCCTAGACCTACATCTGTTTTGAATTTCCAGCATATTATTGTTCATCTTATTTGAATTTTGATTCGGGCTCATCACGCTATTCACGAGATTGTTGTTAATGATCTGGTTGTCATCAGCTATGTAATCAGGATTGATCAATCTCATGAGATCTTCCTGCAATGTGCTGGATGTCAAGTTCGCGGAATTCCGATGCGAATTTCTCATACCAGGCTTGGGTCGAGGACTTTGGTTTCTAGAGCTGCCGCTGGATGGGGTACGATTGCCGCCGCGATGTTTGTTGGCACGTCGCAATCTCGGCGACACGCTACCTGAGCCATTCGAAAGCTCATCCTCGCTGGGCATCGTAGTCACCTCCGAACAATTGACGTCAGTTATTCTCATTTCTGGTGGTAGGCTTGCTGGAAAATCCTTCGACTGTCGGTATTCAACGTTTACTTTGTGAGGTACTGGTCGCTCTGACATGCTGGTTTTCAAACAGGTGACTTTGTCGCCTACTTTAAAATCATGCGGCATTTCATATTTTATGGGATCTCGATTGTGCTCTCCGTTATTGTCGTTACTGTGCTTCCTTTCGTTACCATGTTGACACTCCATTTCATACTTGGCCATCTCCATGTCGTACTTGCTATTTCTCCTCTCATAAATATCCTCCGAGTACTCGTAGCCGATCCTCTTTTCGTGAGCTCGTACGTCGTGCTCATACTTGGCCGTCGGTCGTTCGATTACTTTCTCCTCCTGCATCTCGTACTTTGAATTCCTTTCCGCTTTTGTGGGCGTCTCATAGTCATATTTGCCACCGGGTTGCTCGTACTCGTACCTGCCGAGATTGTTGTTGCTGCCTGATTTTGGTAGACTGTAAACGGCATTGTGAGCCAATGGCAGAGAATTTGATGCGCCAAGCTTCTGATGGCCGTGATGTTGCACGTCGTTCTTATGGAGCTCCCTTTGAGACGCATACAAGTTCTCTTGTTTAATCTCGTACCGTTCTTTTTGCAATTTTACATAATTCGTCGTTACGTGATCCTGACCGCGATGTGCATTTTCTAATTGTCGTTGATAATTCTCGTGTCGCGCGTTCTCCTGAATCATTTTTGATGACACGTAATTGCTCTCTTTCGTATAATGCTCGTGACTATGATCACGATGCTTTGAACTGTCCATAAGTTGTTTGGTGCTGACGTAATGGGTTTTATCTTTCTTTTGGCCGGATTTGCTGGGTGTTACGGCTTGGTAGTTCTGTCGCACTGGCAATGGAGGCGGCGTGCCGTCCGGGCGGTGATTACCGTCTTGATCTTGCGGTTCCAGAAGCTCGTACCTGAAACAAGAAGTACTTTGGTTCCTTCGATTCTTAAGCCTAAAATGGTTATCTATATTAATTGGATCCGACAAAGAATGTGATATTACACGCAGTTTTGTACGTTCAACGATCGACAGTTCAAAAAGAAGGTTTGTTAATGTTATGATGACCCGCGTGGCACGTGTAAGGATTAATACAATCTCGATGTTGATCACTCACCAACGATCATCGGCACTACTGTGTCCGCTACTGCTGCTAGTCATTGTACCCTCCAATGGAAACCGTGGATCGTTGAACGATCTAGAGCTTGATCCAGTACCGTACCCGGAGCTGTTGCTCGATCGCGGCGGACTGAATGATCGTTCATATCGCCGTTGATGCGACATCGCCGTTTGCTGACTCGGTGTGTTATCCGCGCTAGTTACATTCTCGTAATCCCCTTCATAATTATTCGCCAGATAATGACAGTTTTGCAGCGTGCAGCCTCTGCCGTATAAAAAAAAAAAGAAGAAAAATTTATCGAATAATTTAATTTAGTTAATCTAAAACTAATTTTTAGTTAGTTTTGTCATTCTAATTTCTATTTAATTTAAAAGTTAAAACTTGAATTTATAAAAGCGATGCATAACAAAATTAACATAAGATTGGTTAATTTTATATTCGATTTTCTTTATGAAACAATTACAAAAATCGATTGGAAATTAACAAAGCCGAGATAAGATAATTTAGAATTCTATACCTTCGCGGATTTCCTTCATTGGTCGGTGGTATTACAGTGACGGTAACCTGGACGCTGGTCTTCAATAGATCGACCATTTGATCATGACTCAAGGTCGACACGGCTACCTTGCAAATCTCGACCAACCTGGATGCTTGCCTCAGGCCCGCCTGCCATGACAGCCCCATACTTTCGACCTGCGTCACAACGCCGTCGGGCTGAACATGGAAGCCCAACTGTCCGACACTGTTCCTCTTCAACGACAGTTCTGAGGCCGGCGCGCCTTGAGTTACGGCACGCAGTCGAGCTACAATTTCCATTAACTCGTCCCTCTCGCCGTAATCACCGCGTACGTGTATAGTAATGCACTCGCCTTGATGATGATACAATCTTAAACTGTACCGCAAAGCAAAGCAAAAATGTTAGTCTGCAATTAATCGTCCGATTTCCAATCGTCCGCGAGCGTTTTTACGATACTTGAACTAGTCATGAATAATGCAGTAAGTAGCGGTTGCATGATCTAGTTAAGCGATCCAAGAAGAAATTATTACGATTGAAAACTGAAGGACTTAATTTTTTTTATCAACGTTAAGAAGTTAAATTTCAAATTAGTAGATGTGCGTGCAAGTAATAAATTAACTTGACATATTAAAATTACAAGACATTTACCTGTTTGTTTGGGCGTGCCATCCGAGCACGCTCACGCATGGAGTGACGAATACTATTTGTCTGGAGTGCTCTTCGATCAATACAATGGTATCTATACTTATGCCTAAATAACAATCGGTATTTTGATTGCTGTCTTCGAGTACGACTTGCCAACAAATCGCGCCGCGTTGAGATGCGTCACAAGAGAGTCTCGGTCGCACCGTTGTCTTCTTCTTGGTGCTGAAGGAGAGCATCGCTGTTCCGCAAAAAGAAAACAATAAGTTCAAGAATTAAAATAATTTTGATCTAATTAAATAAATTAAACGATAATTTAATTTAATTATCATTGTGTCACTATAAATTACTTATTATGAACTAGAATTTAAAATTAATTATTTTATTAAAATTTCAACGTACAAAATTTCTGGCCTGTGTCGACAACTGTGGTAGTAGTACAGTTCGTAGCAAGATCCTTCAGATATTCCTGTCTTGTCCTTGTGGCCATTGTGGCGAATTTTTCGGATCTAGTGAAAAATATGTTTAATTTCATTAATCTGATCGACATACAAAACTGAGAAAGAAAAAAAGTTAACTTACCTGTGAGCCGCATTTTCGGCGTTTATGACTTTCGCCAACATGAAATCCGCAAAAGCCTTTCCTTTTGTGAACGTAGCACCCTGCGGAACGGGCGGTCCAAAGATGGGCACTTCTTTGCTCCTGGACACTGCTACGCTGTATTGCGTGTTCTCGGTACAAGGATTTACGGCTCGCACAATGATAAATACATGTTGAAACTGGGAGCGTATTCTTCGTGGACTGAACGGCAACGCACCAGGTTCCTGGAGAAACAATTATTAATTATAGGCATTAAGCTTGCATTAAACTACACAAAAAGAATGATTTTGCTAAAGTATTAAAAAATTTAGTTAGATACAAATCTGAAAATAATTTTATTGGACAAAATAATTATTGCCGGTCGTTCAAGCATAATGATGCAAAAAGCTTTGACATTGTAGCAACCAACTTGAGCGTCTTATAACATAATTATTTCGATAATTCAAGAAAATTATTTTCAGATCTGTATCTAGCTAAATTTTTGAATAGTTTTAGATGATTTTTTCTGTATTGTTTTTTTCGTATACATAAAACACACATGCGAACCACCTGTTGAATATTTAGCTGAGATTGAAGAACCGGTATTGCGGATGCAAATAAATTATTTCACAAATCTAACATATGTAAGTACGCGATTAAATATTCAACGATGTGAATCACAGGGGCGCGATCGCGATGTCTCACGTCGCTTATTGCGGACGGAGCTGAATAATAAATTTAGTGAGTCTCAAGAGAGCCGTGCGTCATATTCATGTTTCATCGCGCAGTCATTATTACACAATTGCGTAATCGCGCGGCCTTAATTTACGGCCGGTATAAAACTGTACCTGAAAAACTATCGTGACTATGTCATTTCCGATGTGCCTCTTCCTCAGCAGCTGCTGCCGGTTATTAGGCGTGAAGGGTAGCATGGTAGACACGTGAAAGGTGACTTCCGTTCCGCGATGCGTCGCCGCTACAGCGTGTGTACCCGTCGAGTCAGTTCTGGTGTCCAGTCCAGCCTTGTAACCCTCGAATCCTCGCAGTCTTATTCTTTGGCCTGTCATGAAAACATGCAATTATCTCAATTGCCCGGCGCGCACCGAAGAATTGTCGGTCGCATTACGCGCTTACGCTTGCACGTCGAACGTTGCGTTGTCAATCCTATTTTCTGCGATTTGGTCGCACATAGTTGTTACGTTAAAATACAATTGTCGGACGTAATAATAGCTTTTCAAATGATGTAAAATAAAAACAAAGAAGCAAAAAGCATGTCAATATTTTATATCAAACGATCTAAGTTTACAAGAAAAGGAAAAAATGTGTTCGTACAAATTTCTTTGAATCGTTTGTTGTTTTTAGAATTACGTAGAGAAGCTGATAATCGTGTCCACAAATTAACGCGAGGTAACCATCGGCCAGGCACTCACAGAAGCGACGTGAAACGCAACGCGCGACGCGTGAAGAAAAAAAAAACAGGACGTGCGTTTCTCTTTTAGAAAGCGACAGTAATCGTTAATAAGAATAACTAAGGCGATCGTAAACACAACAATTCTATTCGGACAGTCCATACGTAACGACCGCGAAATTACGCGCGAGTTTGCGGTTGATTAGCGTTACGAAGTACAGTAAGTAAAATCATTCCGGGACATTGAATCGGTTAATCGCCGATAAAGCGAGTCAAACTATCCGCGAAACGACTGGTGGATCGCACATAAGACGACTCATGTGTAAATCGCTTTTTTGGCTGATTTATTTATAGCGTTTACGAGAGAATTTTATCGACTTTCAACGAGACTTCTTCAACTCGTTACACTGTGTTGACTCGCTTGTTAATGCAAACGTGAAAACTTTCTAGCTGAGATCTCCTAATAGATAACAATATGTAAAAATTATAAAAATTAAGGGAACAATTTTTTAACATTAATATGAATAAAAGTGAACAAATGTTCTTGACAAGATAGACACTAAACTAAAAATTTATGCTAAAGTGAAAGCATGATATAAATGCAAACCCTTTTTTTATCTTCATTGATTTTTATATAGCAAAATATTTATTTATATATTTTTAAGTACTTTTAATTGTTTTACTTGTAAGAACGTATTTCGATTTTAGCTTCAAAGTTCTAACGTACTTTATTTTGGATGATGTATTATAATTTCAATATTTAAGAGCAAAAGTTATGATAAAGAGCATCGCGTACCAATGGTGTCCAAGAACTCCAGGAAGGCCGGACCGGCGTGCTGATTGTTGTACATCTCTTCTTCGGACCTCTGGCCGGATCGACAATACAGCACGCCAACTTTGTACTTATTGGACAATCCCTGCTCATCCAACCTGGCTAGCGCTTCCTCGGCGGCAGGCGTGCCGAGCCTCAAACAGCCCAATTGTACCTCCGGCGCAACTAGCTCAAGGAGTTCCCTTGTAGGCGGTCGGCCTTGCGGCCTAATGCCGAGGGCCTCCTCCGGCACAGAGCCACGTAGAGTTAGTAATTCCGATGTGCGCACGATCACGCGGTACTGATTGACATCTTTGCGGATACTGATAGCCACCGGTCCCAGCTGTTCGTCCATGCCGAACCAGTTCTGATGCTCTCGTCCTGCAACAAGATTCCGTTCTCTTTATATCCCACTTATGAGATACTTTGAGCGAATAATCGACTGCGTAGAATTTTTCATATTTACACATACTTCTAACTTATGTATCTTACTTCAATTATAATATTAAATAGTGCAGCGTAGCAAACTATTTTATAATTTCATAGTGTTG